ATCCAACCGGAGCACCGAGCCCTGGTTTGTTATTCAGGTTAAAGTGGGAAGAAGCAGCGGGTTTATCGGGCAGCTGAGTGAAGTGGAGCCTGCGGAGGAAACACCGGGACCGTCTGGATGTAATAGTCCGTGGAGGTGCTGCGGTGCTCGGCTGCACAGATAGGAAACCCCTCGGCTGACAGGATGTACCACTCTCTCACTCCGCTCTCTCTCACGCAGGCGCAGAACGTACGTGCTACTTGGCCGTCGGATGTAGTCCGTGTAGTGTGTTCAAATGCAACTGACACAGGGCGACGTGAGGCGACGTGAGGCGACGTAGACGACGCAACAGTTGGCTTTTTACAGTCTATGGAAAATATGCTGAGTCTATACGTGCTAAAATTAGTCTTTTTAAATGGAGTCTGGTGGGTTTGGTGATGGCGATTTTGGGGCTGTTTCTGGTTCAACAAAAAGGATCTTACTCTCTAACACAAAGCTCTATCTCTGTAGGGATCCTTTCATAATGATGTCAGACACTTAGAACAACAATCTGAGCCTGCCGTCTGCAGCGCTTTCTTAATTCTGGACGAACTTCATATATTGTTGTTCCCGTTAGTCACTTAGACACAAAAAGAAAATAGAGTCAAGGTTAAAACATAACAGCGTTACCTTTCAATTATTTGCATTGGAGCAGAAATCATTGTTTTTACATGTATGGCAGTATGTGATAATATAGATAATTGCTTGTTTGCCACTTTCTGAGGATTAGCCGTGTTGATGGAGATTCTTTTAGATATTAAAGGACATTCACTTGCTAAGATCGATACTGCTGCCGCGCTCAAGCTAGCTATTTCTCCCAGTTTCCCAGATATTTGTACAGGTTCCTGAAGGCAACATAGTGTTTGTTTACCAGCTGCAGTCTGTTATCTCTGCAGTGTTGTGTTTCGTAGATCAAAGCTGTTTTATATGTCAAATGCATCTGAAAGAAACTGTATCTGTGTTTCCAGTCTTTTCCTATCCAACATACAGTATATATACCATAGCGAACACACGCTGTATGTTTTCAGCAGTTTCAGTACGTTAATATCAGTTTTTGCCATCAGAAACACAAAACCAAATTTCCTGTGATGCTGTTTCTCTGATAACTCTTGCTCAGACTGTCGCTGCCTTTCCATCATGCTGTCACATCCTCCATATACATTTTCATTTCATACACACATCATGCTGCCTCATACAGACGCCGCTGCTCACCACAGACATGCAGAGCCGTCTGTTTAGCGCTCCGCTAACTTGAATGGGGATAAAATGATTCAATCTTGCGGCTCTTCTAGACTTTCCAAATGTTAACGGACCAAGTGGGTTAAATCCTGAGTGAGTTATGTTGCAGGGGATGTGATGCTCAAAAGAATGTATCTACTGATTTACACGTGTCTCTTTGCCAGTGTAAGTCTATGGGAAAAAGACTTTTTGCGCACAATGACATCACACGATCTAAGTTGTAATTCTACTGTTTGGCCACTACGACTCAAAACACAGGATTGGACATTTGAGGGTTTACTCACAAAGAAGCCAAAGAATTGGTACATCATGACAATTTATAGTGTGTGTGTGTGTGTAAACAAGCAGAATCAGTTGACACACCTACAAGCTTTCCAATACACACATTGAAAGGTGTTTCCCGTCACTTAAGCTGCTGTTTCCTGATATTCTGATAAACAGTTCTGGGAACAATTGCTTCTCCTCACCAACCCAGATTTGGTCAGTCATGTCAGGTCTTCTACGCTATACCCGGGGATCTTAAGTTAGCCCGCTACAACGGTTGCAATGGCAGCAGTAGACATAAAAATGGCCACCACTCTAACTATCAGCAAATTTGTGTGTATTAGGATAGCCAAGCAATTGCCCGTTCTGCGCTCCCCATGATTGGCTAGTGCTCGTTGCCTTCGTTAGTTTGATTGGTTAAGAGGGATTTGTACTTGTGCGTCAGACCCTACGCCCTAGCCTACACACATGGCCTACGCCGTTGTGAGCATTTATACTTGTGTGGTGGTGTGTCTGTCACTCTGCAGTTACACCTCCAAAACACTAGTCGGCGGTGGAGTTTCTGTGAAGTGCTGTAAAGTTTAGTTGATTCAAAACACACATTAAACACACATTAAACACACATTAAACATGGCTTAACAGAGACAGTTTCAAACACAAATCAGCTTCACTATAACTCGCAGCATTCACAGACAAACACTTGTCTTTATCTGGACACATTTTCCCCACAAATACAACATGCTAAAGTTATTAGCACAAGCCTATGGCATTTTACATTGTATAAATTAGCCTAGCAGCTAGCGGCCTTTTTCCTCTGCTCATATGAAGCCAGGGACAACAGCAACATATAACAAAGGTAACGTTACAAAATTCAGCTCCATTACAACTCACAAGGTTCACTGACAAAACAACTGTCTTATACTAAACAAGTTTTCCAAACAAATACAACATGCTAATGTTATTAGCACAAGCCTATGGCATTTTACATTGTATAAATTAGCCTAGCAGCTAGCAGACTTTTCCTCTACTCATATGAAGTCAGGATAAATCACACACAAGACTTAAAATGCTATTTTAGTGGAGGCTTTATTGTCTTCACAATTTATTGTTTCTTATCTGTGAAATTAAAGTAAATCAAAGCTTTGTTTCCACTGAGGGAAATGGTTTCAGCTCACAGAGACAGACAGGAGGTCTGCGTCACTGTGACGTGTAGTTACATTTCTGGGGAGGTGCACGTCAGGCTACGGCGTGGGCTCTACGCCATAGGTATGATATCGTTTTATGGCAGAGGTATAAATCCCACCCACATGAGGCTGAGACCAGAGGTGTAGGCACAGTTAAGTTGAGGGTGAGAATGTTAGGGTGAGCCAATCAGAGGCAGAGTAAGGCGGGCCATTCCTTTGCTATTCTTGGATTCCTAGATTTGCGACCATCCTGCCATGTTGATTTGAATCGTAATGTCTGCACATGGACACAAAGGGACTAAGACACAAACAGACAGCTGTATCCAAGAGTTCAGATCAGCAGATCCATCTCCCGTCTGATCGAGGCTTGTTAAAGAATCATTTCCATGAACCATAAGTCATGACCATTGCTTTCTCTCATCTGTCCATCCCTCTGTCCCTCTGTCTGCCCATCAGAGCCCGGTCTTCACTTTCAGCCCATCTGAAGTCACCTCCGCTTCCTCCTCCAAAGACCCCAAACCAGGAAGTGCCACCACCTCTCGGCCCACCCGCCCAGCACCAGACCCCAAAACACAGACCCTGCCCTCAAAGGGCCCCGCTGACCGTCCCCAGCTCCACTCCATGAAGTCCCTCCCCCTTCAGACTCCACGCTCCCCCTCCCCATCACCTTCCCCTCTCCTCTCCCCCATCCCACGCTTCTTCAACTTCCCCTCTCCATCTGTCTTCAAGTCTAAGAACGTCCACTCGTCCTCTAACTCCTCTGCCACCCCTCCCCCTGTGTCGCAGGTCACGCCGCAGGGCTCACCGCTGCCCACCCCGCTGGGCACGCCTGTGCACCAAATCCAACACCCTTCCTCCACCACCCCTCCCTCCTCTTCCTCCTCGTCTTCTTCTTCCAGAGCGGACGGAGCCGGCGGGGCCTCGCTCTCGTTGACGCCGCCCTCCAGCCCCGGTGGCAGTGGCGGTCTGGCAGCCTCGAGCTCCGCCCACTGGAGAACAAGGCTCAACTCGTTCAAAAACAACCTGCTGGGCTCGCCACGCTTCCATCGGCGCAAACTGCAAGGTGAGTGAAGACGGTGGTGTGAATCCTCGCCTCTGATTGGTCAAGATAAAACATCCTAACATTGAGTTTTGCATCTGTTTTTGGTTTTGAGTTTGGCATGCACAAGGTATTCCAGTTTTTGATCTTATTCCAAAAAAGACAATATTGAAAATTAATATTCGTCTTAACATGCAGTCGGTTAGCGAGATTTCCACCATCATTTTTTATATTTTCTTAAAATTTAACCAGTTCCTTTCCATTAATGTGCTATTGACAGCCAAATGAACCAAAACTAACTAACTATCACCCCTAATCTCTGCACCAATGTTACACACTGTTGGCTTGTTTGTTTGCGCTCAGTGCACGGAGCTGACCATAAGCAGACAAGCTGCAGCAAAAACCACAGTTAAGACATCTTGTCTTGTCTTGGCTGTTTACATGCCCCAAAAAATGCTCATAAAACCAAATGAATACCATCATGTCCCACATGTCTTAATCGGAGAATGCGACATTCAGGAAAAGGCCTAATTTAGAATCCAAGCAGAACATGCTGTTTACATGACCCTTGTCAAATTCAGAGCATTATTATATTCTGAATAATGGTGGAATATTTGTGTGATGGTAAAAGTAAAATGAACTTGATGCTCCACAGTTTAAACAATCAGAGTTCTCCGACTTCACATCCAAGACAGAATCTATTCTTAACGAGAGACGAGCACATGCTGCAGCCTGCAGCCCGCGGCTCTGTTGACTAATGTCTGTGATAATCTGTAATTAGGCCAATTAGATTAGAGTCTGTCATCAAGATTCACTGCCCTCCTCTCTCTCTCTCTCTCTCTCCCTCTCTCTCTCCCTCTCTCTCTGCTCTTCTTTTCTTAGTCCCCACATCAGAGGACATGTCCAGTTTGACTCCAGAGTCCAGTCCAGAGTAAGTCCACACGTGTCTCTGTCTGTCTTTCTCTGCTTTCTAGGTGCAGTGTACCCCCACCGGCCACTTTATTAGGTACACCTTGCTAGTACCAGTTTGGACTCAGAGATTTTGGTCCATATTCAGTTCAATTCAAAGAACTTTATTTTTCCATTAGGAACTTGGTCTGTGAAGAGCGACAGTGCATATTAAACAAAATAAATACAAATTATTGGCATGATGACATCACACAGTTGATCCATGATGAGAATCTCCCGTTCCAGCACATCCCAAAGGTGCTCTATTGGACTGAGATCTGGTGACTGTGGAGGCCATTGGAGTACAGTGAACTCATTGTCATGTTTGAGATGATGTGAGCTTTGTGACATGGTGCGTTATCCTGCCTCTGTTATGCACTCAGGGCAGGTGTGCGCCATAAATTCACTCCCAACAAAAGTGTGGATGAACGTGACATTGTCAGTGTGATTATCACCTGAAAGCTTATTGGTAATGCATTATTTTACTTTGTTAGGCCCACTGCTAAAACGTACATCACTGTCACCCCAACACTGTTTGTACACACTTTGTCGCTCTTTATACCATGTTCCCGACTTTCTGTCCTTAATTTGTGACTTCTTTTCTCCTTAAATTATGAGTTTGACCTCGTAATATTTCGACTTCTTTCTCACAGATTTACAACATTATTATTTATTCTTTCTTTTACATGGCCCTAGTGCTCTTTCGCAGATTCTCCCATTCTCTGATTGTAAAAATGTGTGGCCTATACAACACATAAAAAATGTACTGACCAACAAAAGTGTTTGTTTTGCCACTGACAGACTGTAACTATGAGTGTCTGACATCATTACAGAGAAATGGAGAGGTTTTCCATATCTTTCACGTGCGTCGGCCCGTTTGTGTCGAAATCTCACCAACGAGAAGTCTTCAAAAATCGAACAGACTTTTTCACATTCAGCTAAATATTCAACCGTGAGAGCTCAGAGTAAGATACGCTTTTACACTCCACCACAAAGAATCATTCTCGGCACTCCTCTCTCCAAATCTCACCAACGTTTCCACTGTTGCAACAATTCACCTCTCGTGAGATTTCAGAACATCTTTAGCAGCATTTTGGCACAAACAGACCAGAAAAAGTTGTTTTAGCATCAGATTGCATACATCGTCCATGTGGTAAAGTATAAATATTGTCTTTGTATGGAGAACACATTAGACAGAACACAGGCAGAGAGAAAAAGAAAACCATGACCAACAAGATCAGTGCGTTTCACTTCCCACCAACTCTCTGAACATGCTAATTATTTCACTGTAACAGTGTGTGGCTGTTAGAGCTGATCTCTGTGAAGTGAACCGTTGTGGCAGCGAGGCTCATTTGCATAGAAAGGGACCAATTTTGTGCCGAATGTTTGAATATTACCTCATTTAAATATGTACAGGAGCATCGAGGTGCAGTGCGGGGTGCGCTGAGAATTACATTTGTCTTCTTTGTGCAGATCTGGCAGTGCGATCCTTTTATGAATTTGATTTGAAATGTGTGAATAGATCTAATCTGTCACATGTCAAACACGTGTTTGTTCGCAGACTGGCGAAGAAGTCCTGGTTCGGTAACTTCATCAGCCTGGAGAAAGAGGAGCAGATCTTTGTGATGATTCGAGACAAGCCGCTCAGCTCCATCAAGGCCGACATCGTCCACGCCTTTCTCTCAGTGAGCGCCGTCCAGCTTAGATAAACCTGACTGTATATGTGGCTGTGACACCTTTGTGATGTGAATATATCTGATCTCTTTCACTGAGCGTCACTCTTCTCTCTGTGTCTGCAGATCCCGTCCCTCAGCCACAGTGTGGTGTCTCAGAACAGTTTCCGGGCAGAGTACAAATCCTCCGGCGGCCCCTCGGTCTTCCAGAAACCTGTCAAGTTCCAAGTATGATGATATTTTTTTTACCTCCTCAGCTCTGCAGGCCGAAACCAAACACTCCAAACTCCATCAGCACAAATGCATCTTTGCAAACCCAAAAGTTTATCTCAAGTTCTAGTCGACATTAGGGCTGCCACGATTAGTCGACTAATCCGCTATTAAAATAATCGGTGACTATTTTAGTAATCGACTAATCGGTTTGAGTCATTTTTCATATAAAAGTACTATAAAGTACCCAAAATACTCTTATTGCAGCTTCTTACGTTCAGATATTGGCAGCTTTACACACTCTCCCGTGACGGTGAACTAAAACCCTTTGGCGTGAGTACAAAACAAGACATTAGATGACGTAATTTTGGGGTTTGGGCGAGACAGACCGACATTTTTCAACATTTTAACACATTTTTCGATAAAATGATTAGTCGACTAATAGAAGAAATAATCGACAGATTAGTCGACAATGAAAATAATCGTTAGTGGCAGCCCTAGTCGACATGTCAGTGAGAATGTTTTCAATCTCTTGAACATGATGACGTCTGATACTGGTGTACAATCTAAAACTTTAAAGCAGCTGTCGCCTGAATTTAATCAGAATTCATGTGTGACTGGTAGATTATGTTTGTACAGATGTTACATCCATGTAGTTAGATGTGCAGCTGAGCTGATATCACATGCTTCTTTAGAGTTTCACAGGTCAACAGCTGAGAGCATTTATTTTACAGACTTGTCTTTAAACCCTCAGTGTTGAAGTCAAAGTGTTTTATCTTTGGTGCCCTCCAGTGGTCGTATCAAAACCCAACAGGTCCACTGCAGGGACGCTGAGATGAATGAAACAAGCAAACTGATAATAATCATAACAGCGTTTGGTCTCTGTGTGTGAGTGTGACGGACTCATGGACGCGCTGTCGCCTCCTGCAGGTGGACATCGCTTTCTCCGAGGGAGACAGGGAGCGAGAGAGGGAACGAGCAGAGAGGGAAGGAAGACGAGAGATGGGCATCTACAGCGTCACCTTCACTCTAATAACAGGTAGGAGGGTGTGTGAGCGACACACACACAGCTGCAGGTAGAAGACATTTATTTGTTGGTGTAATTAGACAGAAATATATGGATGTTGTGGGAGAGGCAAAAATTTTATTTCTCTTTACGTACAGTCTCACCAGGGAGAATTTCGATGTATATGTTCTGCTGGTCCATTTCCAATAAGACATATAGATTCATAAGATATAAATATTAGTCGGGAAATTTAAGGTGAAATTCTAAGAATATGTAGGAGATGTATAAGTATTATATACGACAGCATATTAAGACCATAGTAGTTTAAAAAAATTAAACAAACTTTAAACTAGAATTGAGTTCTAAATTCAAAGGAATAAAACTTTTTTTGAGATTAAAATGGAAAATTTTAGAGAAAATTTGTGGCTTTAATCTCAGAGAACATCCAATTTTTTCTCTAACATTTTACACTTTAATTTCAGAAATTCTGATTTTATTTTATTCATTTTTTGTTCTGTTTTTTTTTTTTTTTACCTCCAGTTGGACTAATACTTGTAATTATTGGGCATAGTTATATGAGAAAAAAGCATTATCAAATTCCAAAGACATACATGCAACTGGAAACTTTCTAACTCTGCCTGTAAGTGTTGATATGACTGTTTATAGTTGTTTGTATTAGCTCTATGATAAACTGATGTTCCCAGGGTGTCTCCTGTCTCTGGCCAAATATGAGCTGAGGTAGGATTAAAGGGATAGAGCACCCAAAAATGAAAATTCAGCCATTATCTACTCACCCATATGCCGAGGGAGGCTCAGGTGAAGTTTTAGAGTCCTCACATCACTTGCAGAGATCCAAGGGGAGAGGAGGTAGCAACACAACTCCACCTAATGGAGGCTGACGGCGCCCCAGATTCAAACGTCCAAAAACACAAATGTCTCATGGTCTCGAGCAAGCGCACACACGTGAGCGCGGTGCCCAGAGAGGCAGTCAGAGCTACAGGCTACAATGAGGCTAAAAACAGAGTTCAAATGAGGTTTTTCCAAACAACTTTTTATGTCGGGGCTTCAGGACACTTGGATCACTACGGACGAGCAGTATGGAGATATTTTGTGGTTTCAATAATGTGTTTTTGGACGTTTGAATCTGGGGCGCCATCAGCCTCCATTAGGTGGAGTTGTGTTGCTACCTCCTCTCCCCTTGGATCTCTGCAAGTGATGTGAGGACTCTAAAACTTCACCTGAGCCTCCCTCGGCATATGGGTGAGGAGATAATGGCTGAATTTTCATTTTTGGGTGCACTATCCCTTTAAGGGGTTGAGTGGTTATCTTATTCCTAGTCTAGTGATGCTTTGCCTTAATCATAGAAGGGACTTCAGGTTGTTTTCCAGTGAGTTATTCCCTGAGATATGGTGATAATATGTCAGTGCTGCGTTCACTGCCCCCTGGTGGCCAAAGAAATTATTTATTGAAGGTTTAAAAAGATCCTGAAATATGATGCTAAAAGTTTGGACTCTGGTTGTTAAATTAATGCTCATTTCTCTTTTAGTGTTTGTTTCCAATTTGAGACTATGAGTCTATACAGTGTTTTTTTTACGACATTTCTGCAGAGTATATCTTAAAAATAATAAAAACGATGCTCTCTCCATGGTAACCTGAAATAAGTTGCTCCTCTCTCCGCTCAGGTCCCAGTCGCAGATTTAAGAGAGTGGTGGAAACCATTCAGGCTCAGCTGCTGAGTACTCATGATCAGCCTTCTGTGCAGGCACTGGCTGGTAAGATGCACACACACACACACATACACACACACACACACACACACACACACACACACACACTGGCAGGTGTACCAGTAGTGTATTGTTTGTTTCACGCCTCTTCTCTCTTGTTTCACCCTCTGGCCCCTCAGATGAGAAGAACGGTCAGCTTTCCCGCCAGCCCAGCACTCCTTCTCGCCAGAACTCCCGGCGTTCCGAGAGCGGATCGGAGCGGGAGCGGGGGGAGAAGGAGCGTGTGGCAGACGGGGGCAGCGGAGGGAGCGGGAGCAGCAGCGGGACGTCCTTACAAAGGCGAGGGTCGGGGAAAGACAAGACCAGACTCCTGTCGTCGTCCAACGGGACGCAGTCTCATCCCTGAAAAGAATGTTGTGGAAGAGAGGCGAGGGTCGTCCGCCTGGCCTTTTTCTCTTCCTCCCCTCAGTCCTTCCCCACATTCTTTCCTTCCCTACTCCCTTACTTCCTGCCTTGCTTCCCGCCATGATTCCAAAGCAATGGGATGGAGGAGGGGGAAGTTTTCCCTTGAAGCTGATACGACAGAGATTCCCCACACAGCAGAAATGTATATTAGTGGGGGCGGCAGAGGAAGGTGGTCTCTAGTTAGCCTTCAAGGGCAGCTTCACCCCGCAGTCTGAAGACAGGATGTCTGAAAAGTCCCACCGTACCAGAGAAATACAGGAAAAGCTCACAGCGAGGTAAACACGTAGTTCAAGAAAGCACATGACCTTCTCACCGACCAATCACACGCAACATGAATCCAACAGGAGACCTCTCGTCAGTCAGTCAGAACGGCACAGGAAGTCACCGTCCAACAGCAGAGCCCCTTAACTCTCATTGTCACCTGTCACCTGGATCATCAAGTCTCCTCAGCACCAAACACGATGACAGGAAGTCCGCTCTCCTCCTCCTCCTCCTCCTCTCAGCTGAAGAGTTCTCAAGCAAAGCAACACTATGAGGACGTGTTGAAGACAGATGTTCAGAAAGAGTCTGGATTTAGACGCGATTGTTAAAGTGGATCTTTAGATGTTTAATAATCAGGAGTCTGAGAGCAGAGAGAAGTCAGAGAGTGAATCTGACGTGGGCTACGTCATGTCGCCCTACAGCTCGGTGAATTTCAAAATAAGACGAGTTTCCTTCAGTGTTTGAGAGGAAGCATAAACCCCCACAATTATCTTTGAATTCCACTGATAAAGCTATGATACCGTATTGCCTTTAACGGAGGAGAAAGTGGATAGGTAGTTAGATTTAGCCCCATTTTAAGGACACACGTCACACCACAGGTAGAATGTCTCAGAGTGGAAACTCCCACAGACGGAGATGAACAGATAGATGGAGACGAAGCAGAGCATAGTTAGAAACAGGAGCAGCCTAGATCTTAAAATAACGTATGCTGCATTTCCGCTGCGTGACACGGCACGACTCTACGCATCTCGACTCTGTCTTGAAGTTGTGGATCGTACCTGATACTTGTTTTGGTCCCACCTCAGTTCAAAGCGAGCAGAGCTTATATTTAAAGGTGGAGTTAAAACACTGAAAACCGCTGATTGGTCAGAGAGAAATGTCACTATAACTATAAACTATAAAAAACAGTTTGAAATGAGGCATGACCAAACCTCTGCATCATTTTGAGAATATTTTTGCTAATTTTTGAAATTGAAATTCTGATTAAAACGCTTTAACACCCAGTACGTTCGTGTGCACAGTGAAGTGGAGCTACAGTTCCAGCTGGACGAGGACATATAACTGGCCTACTGTCCTTGTCCCAGTAAACAAGCACGGGAGGGGAATCCATTTATTGAGCCAAGTATGTGCGACTCCTCTACGATAGGTGGAGATATGCCCCCTTTCAGCTTGTTAGTATTGGACCTTTTTCCTGTTGACCTATTACGTCACAGACCAAACAATGGACAAACAAGTTAGCTACGGTTAGCTAGCAGCTAACTGCTACCATGGTGGACAACTTTACAGCTCTGTACATTTGGTCCGTCCAAAAAGTCACGGCTCTGGATGTAGATTTCTCCATGTTGTTACCGGCTTCTTCTTCTCTTACACATTTAATGCTATTGGACTTCAGGGTCAAAGCCCGGGGCGGAAACTGTGGAGCATGCTCAGAGAGCCTCGGCCAGTTTTATCAGTCAGAGTAACACAATGAATCCGTCATGTAAAGGTACTGAGCACCACCTGCAGGGCAGGCCAGAGGAAACAAGGCAGTCAGTAGCTATGTTTCCATCCAAAAGTGATTTGAATCATTGGGAAATGTGCATTAAAAGAAATATGAACAGATACGGACTTTGGTGAAAACTACGAACTTGTGCGAGTTTTCCGCAGAACCGGAAACAAAACAAGTCTCGCATTCTTCTTCTTCTACGTTTTCTGGCGGTTGGCAACCAGCTTGTAAATGCATTACAGCCTTCCCGACCCGGAGTGTGGATATCACCATGGAGAGAGGTGCACTACGTCAGACTTAATTCAAACATAACTGTTTCCATCCCCCGTTTTGCAAATCAACATATTTTCAAATCAACCAAAACCCGGATAAAGCGAGCGCATTTTAGTTTGTGAGAATCAAGGGATTTTAATTCAAATTTTGGCGTTTCCATCATAATTTTCCGATGCAATACTTCTAGATGCGCATCTAAACAGGCTGATGGAAACATGGCTAGTGTGAAGCTGTGGTGGTGGCGACAGAGAAGGACAGGATCTCCCTTATATCAGTGGTTCCCAGCTGGTGGGTCGTGTTTCCATTCTGAACGAACTGCAAGTGACTTGCCAATGTGTCAAGTTTGTAAAAAAGAAAGGACGGCAGAGGAGATACCTGCACGCCAACGTAACTGGGCCACAAGAAGGTCTACAGGCTGAGATCAGTGCAAAAGCAGTCTATTTATTTAAGACATCTGTGCACAACAACAGATACAGAGTGAGTGAAAACAGCAGCAAACGTTCAGTCCTCGACTGTTTTTTGTGAACAAGTGAGTCGAGTCGAATCATGCAGTGGAAATGAGGTGTTAGAGTCAATACAACGTCCACACACCACATGTACACTGAGAGAGTTTTCTTCTCCTGTCCCCCTGCAGCACATTATTGGCTTTAAAATGAAATAAAATGAAAATGAAATCTCTGTATAATCGAATGCAAATGAAAACCTTGTGTTGGGTGCTCATGGAGAACAAGAAACAACAGAATACACAGGAGGGAAATCCGAAAACATAGAAAACCAGGAAGGAAGTATGAAAAAGCCTTTATTGTAGTGACTGAATCATTAACGTGTTTGGACCACTGCAGGTCTTTATTGAGGCTTTAGAAAAAGTTTTTACATCTGTTTCACAAGTTTCTGAAAACACCACAAAGCAAACAAACATTCTTTGTAAATGCAGATAAACCAGGCAGTGAAATAACAAAGCTACACAGTGCAAACACAAATACATGGGCTTAAACCAGGGTGTTGAAACGAAATAAAAATACATATAACAATAAAGATAAACCAGGGTACAAGCGTACAGATGAAGACGTATATTCAGTCAGAGGATTTGGGGAATAAAATTTTATAATTTTCCATAATATATGGATATATCGGCCAAATATCCAACATCCTGCATCCCTACTAGTCAGCTGATGGACTTTTGCTGTGTTAGATATTTTTTCTGCCTACAAACAGCTGCCAGGACAAATACACACATTTGATTCGGCTCACTCAGACAGCTCAGTCCGTCACAGCCAGTTTGGAGACGAGGAGTGATTCCAGTGACCTCTAACTCTCCTCGGTGTACATTTTGGGGTGTGACTGTTGTATAAGCGACCTGACAAAAGTCCGAACCTGTCCTTTACCTGAAACCACAATTCAAGTCCGTCAAATTACAGCCATTGACGATGATGACAAAGTAGACTTAGAATAAAGAGAGGCTGGTCGAACGAGACAACCGAGCTTTTTAGACCCACAATTAGTCAACTGAAACCTTCCTACGTTCCTCTGTGTTTAACAATAGACGCAGGGCGACGCCGAAGCCCCAACAAAAGCCTGTTCTGCCTCTGAAAGGAGACGTGGAGGGAGAACGGAGGGACGCAGGTAGAGATGAACATCACACGAGGAGGAAAAAGAACTGGAGAGGAAAAATGAAGCCACACACAAAGAATGAAACTTAGCTTGTTTTTATTTTTCCATACCTTCGTTTTTTTTCTACACCGCTCCCGTCTGTCTGTCTGTCTGTCTGTCTGTTTCTTTATGTTCGCCACCAGCAGGGTCGCGGGCGGCGCCACCAATGTGAATGTCAGAAACTCTTTTGAAATTATTGCAAGAGTGTAAACATATTTTTGTTCCATATATTTATTGCAGATGTAATTATTTATTTATTTATTTATTTGCCATGTATTTGTTGAGAGTGTGATTTTTTATTTTCACGAATGGGAAAGCAGGCGATGGGTGAAGACGGGGAAATGTTACTTTCAAGATGTCTGACACGTCAGAGCAAACCAGCTGAACTCCTCTCCTCTTTCTTTTCTGAAAAACCTCCCAGCTCTACATCGTGTTTTTAACCCGGTTAGTTTGGTTTATTTAGCACCGCCGGCGACCACGGCTGTTCACATGTTTAGCTTCATGTGGAGGACTGTTGTGCGTTACCAGAGGGTGTTTATCAGCGCTGAGGTATTCGCTCCTTCAGGCGGTTGTTCGGTTTGTTTTGTTTAATGTTTTTATCGTCACCTGAGGCAAAAAGTGAGCAGGACGCTAAGCTGCTGAGTCTGTTACGTGACAGATCAAACACACAAACCAGGACATTTTGGCTACCAGGGTGAAACCCATGCACAAACTGACTTCCAATAGTCTCCTCACACTCTGCACCCTGAACTGAAACTGCTCAACACAAACGGAAACAAACGTTCACTTGCAGGTTTAACGGACAGTTTTTTTCCGTCTTTACTGGAAAACTGGAAAATGTGGTTAGTGATTGATTGATGACTCCGACATCCAATAATCTGTTTACACACATTAACATGAGGTTTGGGAATCATTCTTTGGGGAAACTTTTGCCTCAGTGGACGTAATCAAGACAGATTTTCAGTCTGTGCTGCTTTAACAGAAGATTTAAGTGTTGTTGTTTTTTCCCCTCTTGTGTAAGCAGAGGTTTCATGTCCCATCCATGTGCTCACAGTCGGGCCCCTTAGGAGGACCCAGCAGTGAGGCCCCACACGCATCAGACAGGTCAGAGGTCAGGGCGGTTTAAAGTTACACACGTACATGAAGGAGTGTTATGTCACTGGCTTTTTTTAAACACAGGGTCAGAGTCAAGCTCACGACGTGTAGGAGGAGCGAGGCGAGTTAAGGAACGGGAGGAGGACAGAAAGGTTTCGCTCTGCTCTGAGCATCCAGATCCATTCAAAGACACAACGGGACCCTCGGCACATTTACAGCCGCTCCCAAAACTCTCCTATTGAAAGAAGTCTCACCCCTCCCTCCCTCCCTCCCTCATTCCTCCATCCACCCATTCACTGCACATTTTCTACACCTCCCCCCATTCCTCCTCTTTGTATCCCAATTCACGCCCGTCCTCGTCCCCACCGCACATATCTCACCCCCCATATAACCACCACCCCCTCCCCGTATACATTTTCTACACTGTATCCTTCACAGCAGAAGCTGTATACGTCTGTATACACTGTATGCCTGTCTCTGTCTCCATTGTATGCCATCCATATCTATGTAGCGTTCACTATCTTTTATCGACACTGTAGTCACCGTACCGCTCTTCCTCTCACCATTATTGCTCATTCTTCTTCTGCAGTTAGAATTGTACCACTATAATCTCTTGTCTCCCGCCCCGCCCCGCCCGGGCCCGCCGCACCCCACCCACCCGTATGACCGCCACCCCCCGAATCTTGTGAACCTCCGCTCCACATGGTAGGAGGAGGAATTCGTGACGTCAGAACATTAAAAAAAAAAAAAACAACTGGAGGGAGGAGGAGGTGTGTGGGGGAGGGTGGGTCGAGAAAAACATGATTAATGATGATGATGACGACAACGACGAAGAGAAATGTCTGTAGTATAATTACAAAAAAGGAAAAGTGCACTATTATGACAATGATTATTATTGCCTGTGAGAAATACCGACCAATAAACAACAACGGAAATATGTGTGTCTGTTTGTCGTCTGTCTCACTCATGAGATGTTTCCTGGCATGAACACAAAGTTACTGTCATAGTTCTCCTGGTTCATATAAAGACCTCGACTGCAGAGCCGGAGCGACTGCTGAGGACACTTCTGGACACACTGGATCAAACAGGGAGCAACACATCTCCACTTCCAACACTGCACAAAAATGAAGCCAAAATATCCCTGACATCTTGTGCTGGTGACATCATTTGGAGCCAGAGCTTGGGCAGTAGCCATCTCTGCAACATCAAGTGTCCGCCCACACACCCATCCAACCAATCGCAAACAGCGCCACTGAACGTGAGCGCTGATTGGCTCACAGCTGTCAATCATGTCGTCAGATCCTCTTTTTATAGCATCAACTAACTGATTGAAACCAAACTTATCTGAAGAACGAACACTTGAACAAACGTCAGGGATCAGCTGCACAAAACACCTTAAGTTTTCTTCTTAAAGGGATAGTGCACCCAAAAATGAAAATTCAGCCATTATCTACTCACCCATATGCCGAGGGAGGCTCAGGTGAAGTTTTAGAGTCCTCACATCACTTGCAGAGATCCAAGGGGAGAGGAGGTAGCAACAAAACTCCACCTAATGGAGGCTGACGGCGCCCCAGATTCAAACGTCCAAAAACACATAATTGAAACCACAAAATATCTCCATACTGCTCGTCCGTAGTGATCCAAGTGTCCTGAAGCCCCGACATAAAAAGTTGTTTGGAAAAACATCATTTGAACTCTGTTTTTAGCCTCATTGTAGCCTGTAGCTCTGACTGCCTCTCTGGGCACCGCGCTCACATGTGCACGCTTGAAGCACTTGAATTAAATCACTACGGACGAGCAGTATGGAGATATTTTGTGGTTTCAATAATGTGTTTTTGGACGTTTGAATCTGGGGCGCCGTCAGCCTCCATTAGGTGGAGTTGTGTTGCTACCTCCTCTCCCCTTGGATCTCTGCAAGTGATGTGAGGACTCTAAAACTTCACCTGAGCCTCCCTCGGCATATGGGTGAGTAGATAATGGCTGAATTTACATTTTTGGGTGCACTATCCCTTTAAGTCTGACACTTAAGGCTTAATTTCTTCTTAGCTGAGGGATGTATGCAGTTGCATAGAATCCCTTTAAACAATGGTTTCCAGCTGGTGGGTCGTGGTCCAAAAGTTGGTCGTGGGCCCATTCGGCGGGGAACACAAGTGACTCACATATGTGTCAAGTTTGTAAAAAAAAAAAAAAAACCACTTAATTTTTAAGTACAGTAAGTTTCAAGCACAGAGCTTTTATTTTGAAGTGCCGTCTTCTGCTGTAGAGTGAGTGACTAACAGACAGCTACTTGACAGAGACAGGCCAAATGCAAGTGTGACACTGAATATGTTAAACTGTGTGGACCTCAAACTGATGACTAAGGAGAAATCTGGACCAGTTGGGAACCACTGCCTTAAAACGATTCCTTAGTTAAGGAAAAACACTAACTCATTTACTGTGTTGATTTTACAGCGGGAAAAGTTTCCATGGAGATTGTTTGTTTGCTTGGACTCACACTGTGACGCCTGTTATCATCTCACAAAGAAAAGAAGAAAAGAAAACCAGACAGAGGAATACAATCAGAGAAAGAACAAACTATGAAGTAAACACTGTAGGAAGAAGCAACGGAAATGAATTCAGTCAAATCTAAAGTTTAAAATCAAAATCATCAGGTTGTCCTGGTCACAGAACACTCTTCTCAGGGTGTGTGGGGTCATGTTGCAGTTAAGATAAAGTCCCAGGTACCTTAAGTGTTTTGTTTTTTTATCTTCCTTTGGTTACCAAGGTGTTTTGTGCAACAGTTGAGGGATTCCTTAAGTCTAAGAGCAAGACAAGGAGAACACTATAAATACTTAAGTTAAGATTTTAAGGCAAAACCTTGTGGAGAAGGAGAATTTTATTTTGAGGAAACCTTAACTAGGACCTTAAGGAAAATCTTAACTTAAGGTTTTTTGTACAACCAGCCTCTGGGTGATAAAAACGACCTAAAACGACAGTAACCATCATCGGGAAAAATGTATGTGACGTGCACTTTGAGTTTTCAGTCTGGCCCATGTCCCATCAGCCCACTCTCTCTCTCTCTCTCTCTATGGGCCCCTCACCTCGGCCCCTGTGCGACCGCCCTGCCTGCACTGTCCATATTTACGCCCCTGTCTTTAACATAGCATGGCTTCCTCTCTCCTTAGGTAACCTTTCCCTCTCTGTTGACTGACTCGTCCTCTGTCATGAAATCTGTTCAAACATGCCAACGACCAGAATTTAACTTGCAAGCAGGTCGGCTGACTTCATTCCCCAGCTTCCTGTTTTCACTTTGAGCTTCTGCTGAGCGTCAAAAATATTCAGACGTTCATTATTCTGATATCAGAGTGACACATGAGCTGCTGAGAGACATCGAGGCGTCGGATCTAGATCATCATGTATGAAGAGAAAATGTTCAGAATGAATAATGTTGAAGAAGTAAATGAAATGTATAAACTTAACGGTGTGTGGTCAAAAACCTTGTTAAGGGAGTTCAGGTCACGCTGGTTACGCCTGACTTCAGTTCACCACTCTAAAATCCATCCTAAGAGATCAAGTGCAGCTATCGTCATCATGACTATTCTCTGACAGACTTATTTCAGTGTTCTGGGAGGTTCCTCTCGTTTGGAAAACACGTAGGTGAAGGGATAAGAGCAGATGAAACATGCTGAGGCCTGTAATGACTTCCTGTTGTGTTCTGTGTCTGTTATAAATAAATCTTTATGTTTATTAAACATTATTTTCTGAGACCTGATCAGACCCTGAACCCTGAGGCCTCATGAGGTCAGAGCAGGACAGCTTCATATCCTCCATGTGTTGGGAGGCGGGTTTCCATGGTTGTAGTTTCCTGCAGAGAGAATAAAAAATGAAGAGGTCTCACTCTGACTCTAAAAGTGTGTCCTTACATAAGCTGTTTCATACAGTGAGAGGTGTTGATGGAAACTCAGTGGGACAAACTGAATTTTTTACCAGACAAAATGTAGCGCCGATGAATTTAACCTACAGTGAAGTTGTTGTAAAAAAAAT